AATAATAATAATAATAGAATGTTCTGTGGTGTGTATGTTTCAAATCAATCCATAGATAAACTTTGACAGCTTAAAAACTTTTAATTGAGACATTTTCATTTGTACAAGACAAAAGGGATATGTTCATGTAGAAACATGTGGATATATAGTCTTGTGAAAGATTTTAATTTTTGGCTGACAGGACAAGGTTTGGCTCCAGCCTGTTTTTGGGTGTAATCAATTCTCTGAAAAGAAAAAGAGCACAAAACTCTCTGACTGAAAATTTGGGCCCCAACAACACAAGACATTTTGCTCAGCATCATCATACATGGTATAAGTTCCTGTACATTCCCCATTTTTGGATGATATGTAAACCTGTAAATGTGATGTGAGATTCCTCTATAAATGTGTATTAAGAGTTTTTTTTTAATTATTTAAAAATTGTAAAGTGCTGATCCATCCCTTGTACCTCAGCAGATTTTTTTTCATTCTTTTTTTTAAAAAAATGAAAAAAACAATTGTTTTCAATAAGCTATTTTTAATTGTGGTTGAAGCAATAGACTTTTTGAATTATGGATTGTGCATGGCTGTGTCTTGAGTGTAAAAAACAACAAAAATTGCAGTTTGGAAATTGGACCGAAATAAAAATAAGAAAAATAAAAACATTCTGACCAAAAAAGGTTCTGTTTTTTTCACTCAGTTAAGCTGACGAGTTTTTCATTTTCATACACATTAAGTTGACATCTATGTTTATTCCTATGAATGAAACTTGATAGCTTTCAAATTAATTTAAGAGATTACAGACTCCTAACTTAATTTTTTTCTCTCCTTCAAAACAAGTTCTGTAAACCTTTCAAGATTAATTTACTTTATGAATATTATTTTTTTTTGCATTGGATATAAACTTTGGAATTTTTGAGGGGTTAGAAACATGCTGTGTAGGAACAAATTGTCTCTTTGAAACACAGCTGAAGGTAAAGATCAGAAAAATGCCAAGGCTGAAAACAGATTCTGACAAGAATAGAAATGAGGGATATACAATTGCCAAATCTGGTGTAATAGTAATGGTTCTGGTTGTACATCCATATTGTAGGATTTCAGCACAAATAGGAATCTCTCAATTGAATGAAAATGGAAATAAAACAGAATGAACAGATAAGGTTGATAACTAGTTTAATTAGATATTTCCGAGTCCTAACAGTTCTACCCATATATTTCATGTATGATTAACCTTGCTGAATGTTCAAGGACTGAACATGGAAGTAGAATTTGAAATCAGGTAAAATTCTGTAAATCCTAGGAGGAAAATAGGTTTGGACTGCATGATGACATACTGTATTTGTTGGTGATGGCAAATTTATTGGTTTAGCTCCTTAAGGGGTGCTCTTTAGCCTGTTAAAGGTGCTATCAGGCAGCCTATTTGCATTGTAGTTTTTCAGGCGTATTTGCATCTTTGTATATTTGGTTATAGAAACCAAAAAATATTATTTTGAAGATGAGGTCTTCCTTTCTGTCAGGATGAGGTCATTTTATCTTTCTCTGATGATTTATCTAGAACAAAGGCATTTCAGCAAAAGCTGCAAACTGCTATTGATTTGAAGCTGGCAATGGTTTCAAATGCTAAAAACAACCCCAGTGCTTAATACTGTATACAGTATTTACTTGCATTAAAAAAATAATTTTAAAACCCTTGAAGAATACATATATTTGCTAATTACATAGAAAATAAAGCCACCACAACCTAGAGCTTTACAGAAGGAGTCTGAAAGGGAAAACAGAACTCATTACAAAATAAAGGCATATTTAAGATTTTTTTAAATAAGTTAGAAGCACAAGATATGGATAGTGTTATATATATGTTTGGACAAAATTTGTTACATAAATGCAGCAGTAGTGTGGATATTAAATTTCCATAAAGGATACTAAGTAATTGAATACACGTTCTTGCCTTTTAAAAAAGTGTTAATTGTTGACATACAGAGTGAAGGCTGATGAATATGAGTGGGACTGCTTCAGTGACACATAAAAAGGTAGGTAGAGGAACCCACAGACAAGAGTTGGTTATAGATCAATAAGTACAGTAGCTCAAATATCAAATCCTTTTTATAAAGTATGGATAAAAAACTTGCAAAATGTGCAAACAAACTCTTCAAAATACTATAAACTCCTCAAGTACTTTATTGTGCTGTCCAATGTATTTCTTGGTCTTTAGTTTCATTTCTAATGAACTGCGTCTGGTTTTCAGTCAGTTGATATCAAAAATCGATTAACATATTCATGTGCTTCCCTGGATTCAGGAGGAAGTGATAAGATGGTGTTGGAGTTGCGTTGTTTCTCTCACACATCTGTCAGCTCTTTAGTGGTGATTACTCTTAGATTTATTTTCCCAGGCATCTCTTCGGCCATCTGACGTCCTGCTTTGCATAGTTGGAGCTTCTGAGGTTGGCTGGGGTCCTTCAGAGAGGCTGTTAAGACAACCTGTCCGAGGAATTGGTCTTGAATTGCATTGCTGTTCCAAATCTTTAGGGGGGGAAGTGGGAAAGTTCAGCAGTCTGTGACTCCTCAAGGAAATGTGCAACCCCCACAGATCTATTCTGGTAAGCTAGAATTATGTATTGCCAAATCTCCCAGTTCTTGTGTACTTGTTAGAAAAAGTACACTTTTTCCAAAGTAAAAATGCAATAAAAAATATTTAACATATTGTTATACACAGTGATGATATGATAATGTTAGGAGGTCTGGATTTACCATCAACAGGAGTAGAATTGGTTTCATTAACACATTAGAAAGCCATCTTTCTGTCACATCCTTAATGTTTCTCACAACTATCTGAAGCTTGGAGGCCACATTACTGATAACTACCAGATTTTGTTCAAGGGATAAAGGATAAATAGGATTATTGATGCTGATAACACTGTCAATAAGCAACCCAATTTCATTCTTTTGCTGCTTTTCTTCTTCATGCTTAGCAATCTTATTTCAGCAGCTTAAACACAGATAAGGTTAACAATCAAACAGCAGGGTGAACTAGAAGTTCTGGTAAGGGATCAGGATTAAAAAAGGATTTCTCTCACCTGAACAGTGATAGGCTTTCTAGGATTCTTTCTGTAAAAGATAGCTTGAGTTTCAAACACAGGTTCCCGGGTGTTATTCTGGATAGTAGACTGAATCTTCTTTCTCTCACAGTAGATGATTAAATATGGGTCAGCTCCTGTATAAAAAGAAACAGTTTAATACAAATACAAATATTACTGTTTAAAACAGTCAATCATGAAACAAACCTTATGTACAAAAGTAATAATTACTGTATATGTAGTTAACCAGATGAAAATAAACAGCATTTATGGCTGAAGTGAGTTAAGGAACCTTTTTTAAAAAGCATTTTAAAACATCAAGGAGTTGTTTTACAGATTTTTATAACTAGCAGAAGACGAGGAGCCACTGAGTATCATCAAGAATTTTCAGAATATTTAATTTTCATTTATAAACCATTTTGACAGCAGCTTTTATAAAGCTTCTTGCACTTTATAAAGAATAAATTTCCCTAGACAATCTTTTCTATCCATTCCTAATGATGAATATGGAAATTTATTTTTAGGACAAACGTGAAGATGGGTATAAATAAATAAGTCGTATTTATGAATCATACTGTAAATTCAAAAGAACAATCTAATCCAGTCAGAGTTTCTACAAGGTATTCTGTCCAATGTCTTGTTACTGGCAATCCCCCTGGTGCTAAAACAGCTTTCTATGGAATTGCTACTGTATGTAACATCAGCTTTTGATTAACAACGTACAGCTGGTATTGACGGGACCCCTCTTGTTAACTTGTCACAGACCAGTTTACAGTATGCATTTGTCAGCAAAAGAAAGACTCACCCCCCGAGCTGTCTTGGTTCTGCAGTCCTTCTGCATTATGGATGTGTATCTGAGTGACTAGCTGTGGATAGCCTAAGAATGAACTCCAGCACTTCACATTTGGCTTATCCAGCACCAGCTCGCTGAAGAGACCGAAAGACCAACAGAGCACAACTTAAAACTCTCTATTTAGCTCTGTCATGAACATAAAGTATCCGATTGGGTTTGTTTAAGTTCAAACAGGTCTAGAGAAAAGACTTATAGAATGCAACTAAGCTGAAATTGTTTGTGATGAATCATTGATTTGTAAACTATAATAAATCTAAATAGTTTTAAGAATAGTTTTTACTAAACAGTAAGCTTCACTGTACTTTTTTAATGTAAAGAGAAGATTATTATTATTAGTCAAAGTTTTTATTAGTACTGACAATATGTAAGATTTACATAATTCTCTTTGAAATATAGACATGCACACAGAACAAATTGGAGTGAAGTAAAGATGAGACTGAAAAGTAGGCATAAAGGTTACCTGCATCCGGAATCTACATCTGTGTAGATTCTTAGCATGAAGTCTCCCAGAATTCCTGATGTAAATGTTGTTGGTATAATGATATAACGGCCTTGAGGAAGATTTTTCCTCATAAAAACGGTCCGGGCGTTGATGTAAGTTGAAGTAGCAACGACCTGCTGTGTGATGATTTTATGCATGCGATACTTCCTATTCAGTTCCACCTTTTAAAAAAGCGAGTGAAAAATACAATGACTTCTTAAGGGAAATTCTCAACAAAAAATCTAGTTCAATTTCAGACTGGAATTTAGTCAGTAGATCTCAAAGTTTGCTTTAGATCTGAGGATGAGGTGGGATTGTGGATGATATTTATTATATCAAGAAATTAAAAATTAAAACCCTTCTATCAATTTTCCATAATACTACAACACTATGCTGGCACTGTGCTGTCATGCTACTATCCATGAGGCCATCAGTATTCATTTGAAAATGAAGAAGACAGGTACATGGGATTATTATATTAAGAACATTAGACATTAGACATGTTGTAAAGGTGAGGAAAGCATCCTTACTCTGAATTACTAATTGATCCAAGGATCTCATCCAGCTGTTTTTTGATACAAGTCAGGGTATTGGTTATTGGGTAACTTGTTCTGAACTTCAATAACACTTTGTAAGAAACGCCTCAGTTTATGTCCTATGGTTTGTTTCCCTGTCAATTCTGAAGAAGTCCATTGGTGTTACTTTGAGGATTTTTAATATTTGAATCAGGTCACCCCGTAGTCTTCTATGTTCAAGGCTTGAAAGATTCAATTCTTTTAGCCTGTTAATATAGCATATTACATCAAGACTGGGAATGTCTTAATCATCTTGAAAATCATTTCGCAATAATGTATTGCATAATTTTAAATAACAATAACATCCCTCATTTAAATTATACTTTTAACAATCTTATCTTTGTTTGCCCCTTTATTGTGTTCTCAAATTTAGAAAATGTTCAATATGTGACGTCTTTTGTATGTGTTTATATTAAAAAGCCAGAAAAAACACCCTCATATTAATGGAAATTGTTCCATCAATGATTTCAGGAAATGGTCAGGATTCAGTCCATTGCCCGATTGCAGGGTAAATTTTCATTTTACTTCTCACTAAACAAATTAAGCCACAATTGTCCATTTTTTTAAATGGAACTTTTATCTCAATCATAACCTAGTCTCAAAAAGGTCTCTGCTTTATTTTAAAATAAATTAAATTGGACTGAATGACCCTGTCAGCTCCATTACTGCTTTGTTTGACTGGTCAGTGAAAAAATAAGATGGAAAACACATTAAAACAACACTCTCTTTGCCAGATTATTTTGCAATGATTAATGCCAAATCACTTTCTGTCTGACATTACAAGGATCCAAAGTCAGCCTCACCCATTCTGTAAATAACTTACGACCTGACATACAGTAGGTTACTGCTCAGATGAGGACTTCGATGAGGTACCCCTTGATTTCTGAATATATTAGCCTTGTACCTTGAAAATGACAAACCCAATAGTAAAGTTCTCCCCTTGACCAATTCTTCTGTGCATTTTCATGTCCCGCTGCTGAAGGGAAATCAAAACTTCATCCTCTGACTTTGAAATGTCGAACACATACTGTGGAGAACAGATAATAGAAATAGCTACAAGGCAGATTTGACCAGTTACAGTAGCTCATTTATTTAATTAGCTTAGCTGATCATTATAGATAAATACTGTGTACTTTATAACATGATACACACAATATGATATGTAAGCATCCAATATACAAGTAACCAAATTAGTACAGCATGCTCTTCATTGTATGATAGCCCACTCTTGCTAGTAACCCTCTTAGTAGTCTTATTTTTTTAGATTTAAAAAAATATAAAAATTATAATATGAATATTTAGATTTTTTGGAACTTCCTCCACTTCCATAAGTTATATTAGAACTGTCAAACTTCCTACCAGTTCTACATTTTTGTTCTTTGTACTGAACCTTCAACAGTATATTAGTGCATGAAGTATTTGGTCCTTGCCTATAAGCACTTGTCTGGTGTCTGAGGGGCAACTTCTTCAGGGCCTTTAGGGTGAAATAAGACTTCCATAATATTTTATTTAAAGTGAACAGTAACTTCACATGGTGATAAATGTATAAACTCCTGCAATGGGTTACCTGTGGGTTTTGCAGGAATGTTTCCCTGTGGTTCATGCATCCTCCACTGCGGTTGAGGAGGGGATCAGCATTTTTGGCCCAGCTCCCTTTAAATATTGCTTCATGCCAAGTTTTATGAATGCTCAGAAGGGAGGTGTTTATAATGCGACACACATCCACGTCAGTGAAATACTTACACCAGTCATCAAATGACATCCTGTGGGAAAGTTGAAACCATCAACATGTCTCCATTGTCATTGAAGCCATTAAACTACGTCTTTTACACAAACTGCTAAATATGGTGTAGCAGGAAGGGCAAAACTTGATGTGCTCAATCCAAAACATTGACATTTACAACTAAAGACATTTACAGACCTATTTCTAAATACATTCCCCAAAGACACTCAGTTTTTCCATTCAGCCTGAGAAATTAAATTACCATGACTGCTTTTAACGAGAAATCAAGCTGTGAAAAATAGCCAGAAACACATCACTACCTTCAGCCAGTATCTCATCAGCCACTCCTTCTTATAAATTATTAATAGTTTCAATGTAATAGTTGCTGGACTTTTAAGGCTTTGTTTCCAGTTAAACTAATATAGATACTGTATATTGTATGATAATGCTTACCAAAATTCCCCATCATCCTCAACTGTAATTCCCATTGCTTCCCTTTCACTGCTGCCTACTTTCTCCCACTCTTTAGAGCTGGAAAGGCACAGATGAAAATCAACCTCTGGAGCAGGGGTTTAGATATATGTACACATTCTTAAGAATGACTTAATGTGAAGGAGGACTGTAACATGTATTCCTTTCAGATTCACTGTTCATCTGTCTAAAGCAATAAAATAATGGAAATGGCATTAGTTGAAAAAAAAGTTGGCCACTTTTACTTTAAGTACAGTACTTCATACAGTACATGTGACAGTAAATATGTAGGATTTGCAAAATATTGCAGCCAAATTAAGTTTGTTTATATATAGGTATAAATTACATGTTATTTATGTTATGTTATTACATGTTACTGTTATTGCTATTGTGTTACTGTCTATTGTCTTATCTTCTGTCCTATTTATATACTGCACCTGAGTGACTAATGAGAAAAACTTTTCAATATACTATGCATCTGTGTAAGTTTAATGACAATAAAGTTGAATTTAATTGAAAAAAATATATACACATTTTGTGTGTGTCTGTATAGAGTGTGTATTAGTTATATAAATACTGCTACATTCAGGAACCTAGTTCACGATAAGTTTAGGAATACCAAAGGAAATACAAGACTGACAAAATTCAAGAACCAAAAACTCTGCAAACACCTGGAAACATTTCTTTGTAGGTATTATTTTTATTTTATGCAACATCTACGTAATTAATAGGAGCAGGTCAATTAGCCCTTTTTATTATCCTTCCAAATGAAGCTCCCATTTTGGGACCTGATTCACATATTTAAAATTCTCAAAAGCATTTACAAATTATCCCAATGGACTTCCTCACGTGTAAAACACAGATCAGAGGATATTAAGCTGATAACTGGTGGAGCTTCTTTACACAAAGGGCTGTTCTAGTCTTACACAAAGGGCAGACTGGAACGTGCTACATACAGTAGATATTCTGTCAAAGCAACATGTCAGGAAATCGCTGGATGAGAACCTCAGATAACTCAGGCACTAGTAATCTACTGTGAGATATATGAGCCTCCTGTTATTTATAATATTTCTATGTATCTCACAAAACGACTATAAAACAGCACTGTAAGTCTTTACACAACATTGTAGAATGGTTTTCTAACATTGAAACTATGCTTTACAATAACTTTTACAAAAAACACCATAAATAATTACATTGCAGGTACTGCAACATGATTGCCAATCTTATAATTAATTCAATGTTTCCTTCTAAACAGTTTATAAGGGTGAGCTTCGTATGCTTATATTAGTGAGAACAGGTGTTTGTTCTCTTCATAAATTCCTGCTTCGTCACATTTTTTGCATGTTATGATTGTGTTTCATAGTATTTGCAGATCATAAACAAACTTTGAAATTGTGCAAGACTATTCCAATTATAATGAGTCTTTCCCACATTGTCTACATGCCTTTGTGTTTTATTTGGGTATAAAAATGTTAGCAGTAAAACACAAGACCTTGTTTGGCATATTATTCATTTTTATGTAATATCAAGAGCACCCTCTTTTGAATGTTTTCCATAATAATGTTGTTTTAATATGTTTTTAATACACTAAACTTGGTTTCTCAGAACATTGGTTCTTTGTTGTACCATCTTTTCACTAATATTCTTACAAATGTAAGATTACAGTTCCTTCCTGAACTATGCTATAATAAAACAGTTTTATTATACAAACTCTACAGTATATTGTAAACATTATGTTCCTCATTAAAGCTCTTTCAACACACACATGCACAGACTCATACAATATTTACCTGTATGAGTATCTACAGTAACTCACTGTAGCTTACGCTAGCAAAAATGGGACACGCTTAAAAATAAAATGAAACTGGTATGTTTTTTACACACCTGTCACTCCAAGTGCCATTCCATTCTGTCTTACCCCATGGGTTCCTCATTCGAATCATGAAGATCTTTTCAGCTCTGAAGAAGGTCATCAACCCATGACCAAGCCGAACTTTCCTCACCCCTGTCACTGAGTAGGCGTGACCCTTCACTAATCCACAGCTCATCCGGGCCTCCATCTCCAAAGATGAAGTGGCCTGTGAGCAATATACAGTATAGACATCACAAGAGGTTAATTGGGCAGACATACTGTTACGATCCCTGCCTCCCGGCAACGGAGGAGGCAGAAGTAGGCGTAGCCCCTATCCATCAGTTCACCTATCAGTTTTCCAATTCACCACCACACCCCCGTCTCATCCTACTTAAACACCTGTCCTTCCCTACCTCGTTGCTCAGTATTGGTTTTCCCTTTCGAGCTTCCTGGTTGCGCTTCTTCTACTCTGTGTTCGTCTTGGCTTTCGGTGTGCGGTTTTTCCCTTTGGACTTCGGCTTTTCGGATCTCGGCTTGGATTGGTTACTTTCGTTCTGTTTCGGATCACTGGCTGCCCCTGGATTATCGGATTGCTCTACTGACTACGACTTCGGATCACGCTTCGGCTTCTGTACTCGTTCCCTTTCGAATATCTGGCTTCCCCTGGACTCTCGGCTCGTTCCTACGATTACGGCTCGCTTTTGGATTACGGCTTGGCTTTGTTCGCTCCTGCAAGTGGGTTCACTCACTGGTTCGGTCCCTCTTACCGAACCCATAACACATACAGCATTTTTTCCAGTTTGACCAGACTGGTAGATAACCCCACGTGAACCCAACCAGTTATTAATGTCAGTTTGAGTTAAGGATACGCAAATTGGTGCCTTGTTAAATTCCGTTCATGCTTACTCATGGTTTTTAAGCTTAAATATATTTACTCTAATCTTTTATGATGTCATGCTGATAATGGGCCCAAAACCAAGCTAACACAATTTACTGTAGCATTATGATTTAGCAGTATCTACTTAACATAAGCTATGACTGCATAACTTCTTGAATTCTTCAAGCTTTGGTGCTTTTAAGCCCTGCAATTTATGTAAATAACATTATTAGATGAAATTGCCTTTTTTTCTTATTTTTGTCTTTCCACAGTTGGCAACAGTTACTTGCAATGAAAACTGATATGGCACTATGTTAATGTGGCTGGTGCGTTTCAATTCCTTTTATTGCTGATTCCAAGACAAACATCTGTTTTCTATTAAACTGATGTGGTGTCGCTTACAACATATCACACTAATTATTACTAAGTCTCACAACATTAAAAAAGTTAAATGAAAAGAAGCAATTTACTGATTATTCAGGGAACTCTAAAGCAAGAGCATTTGATCATTATAAATGTTATTGAAAATATTGCAGCATTTTGTAATATTTCCTACATAAAGAAAGCATTCCTCTTTGGAAACTCAATAAAAAATGTGCTTGAAGCTCATGTGTGAATGAGGAGCTGGAGTGTCCGGAGAGTGAGAAAGCATAGGCAGGAGAACAGCTGGGGTCATGTGCAATCCACACATTTCTCGGCACAAAGAGATGCTCCACGTAGGATGCTAGATGCTGTGGACAAATAAGATTCCTGATAGGGCTGAGGCAGGACTGTTAGGAAAGCAGGGGTCAGGAGAGACATGACTTCAGAAGCCAGAATGGCTCAGCAAGATTCTGTGACACTGAAAGCAAGACTGAAATAAAGTGAGATGCAATTACAGCTTGAATATCAGCAAGACAGAACGAGACTCAGTGAGGGCAAGAATGGGACAGATTATGGCACAGAGACAAGAATAAGACAGTGACAGCAAGAACAACAGTGAAACACAGCCAGGCAGAATGAGACTCAGCAACATTGAGATCTGTGTGACTAGTCAAGACCCTGCTAGAGTGCGACACTGAGACACAAGGAAGGGAGGAGAGAAGGGGACTGATGCCAAGCCAAGGGATGCCAACAAGAGAGAGCTGGCTCTGGTAGTGAATATTCTAGATATGTCTTCCCATCCCTTTAACGTTGGTATGGTACTTAGTTAGGTTGGCTGATAATTGCCGATAGCAAACTGGAAGATGGTTGCAAAAGAAAGTAAATATGTAAGTACATTGTTGTTTCTGTTTCCTTGAGGGATTTAATTTCAAGTAATATCTGTTTCTTATAATGAACATCTCTTTTCTTAAGTGCTGAAAATTAAACGTCTGCACACTTACATAATGTATTGTGATAGCAAAATGCAAATTGGTTGGCATTAATAGTAATCACTGGATTACAGTAGTCTACCAAATTGTGATGTAATGAGGCTGAAGGCAATGTTGTCTAAAGAAAAACAGATTTACCTTAATGGAACAACTAATGAGGCCTTCCCTCTCGTGAACTTTCAGCAAATCTTCGAAGAGCTTCAGTTGTTCTGAGATTTCAGAGGCATATTTCCCAGCTACCAGGTCAATGGACTCTGTGACTGCACCTGTGAAATCCACCACTGCATCTGCAGTATTCCCTCCATCCAGAGACTCGTAACAACCAGACAGCCTAAAGATACAAACAACATTTTGACAGCTTAGGGAATGCAATTTCAATACATCCATCCATTTTTTAACTTATCCAATATGGGGTCACAGGGGAGCTGAAGCTTATCCTGGCAAGTAATGGGCACAAGGCAGAGTATACCCCGGACAGAATGCCAGTCCATCTCAGGGCAGACAGACCAGACACGCACATACTCACACCAGTTTTCCCAGAAACCAATCAACCTACCAGTAGGTCTTTCAAATGCAGGAGCAAACTTGAGGTCCTGGAAGAAACCCACCTGAATGTGGGGAGAACATACAACTCCATGCAGATAGCACCCCAGCTCTGGAATTGAACCCAGAGCCCCAGCACTGCAAGGCAGCAAAACCAACCACTGCGCCACTGTGCTCTTCTGAATAAAGCTTGTCATTTTTTAAATCTGGGACCATTAGTAAGGGTTATTTTTTTATTAAATGTAAAATTAATTTGAAATCACAAATTATTTTAAGACTCTGCTTATAGCAGTAACTCCTTTCAACATTCAAACAAGCTTCTTATATAAACACACCCAATCCATTCATTACTGAACATTTTTCACGCTCAACTGTGTCTTACTAAACAGGGTTAGCTGATACCACTGCAAACTTGTGTGCACCCAATGGCTTACTGGCATCGACATTCCTTCGAAAAACCTCCTGACTAATACCTACCACCATATTGAAACACTACAATGTCATACAAAGTTTCTGTAAATATGGGGAAGAACTTCTCACTTTGCATAGGCTTTCTCAAGCAGGGCGCTCCAGAACTCATTGCGTGCTTTGGAGTGGCAGTAAATGAGTTGGCCATTTATGGTTGGCAGACGGTCATCGATGACGACATCAATCCACTCGCCAAAGATCCAGAACTGGAAGTGAAATATCCCGGCATAATTCTCAGGATGCTTCGGGTCCCATTCCTGTTCCTTCCAGTCTGGAATTACCTAAGAATATTGAAGAAAGATGTAAGAGGTTACCTCATGGTTTCTTATGAGAGTGAAGAAATGTGAAGGTATGAACATACAGTCCTAATGAAAGCATTTCAGTTAGGACAATTATAAAGCTTGCTTCATATTCCACAAAAACTCTGAACAGTCATAGAGCATGAGGAGAAAATTAAAAAAAGAGATAGTTGTTAAGAGTTTCCTGTTGCCTATTATTCTGAATATGTTATCATGATTGGACCCTTGTATCCGATATCATTCCCATCTATTGTAAGAACACAAAACAGATGCAAGTTAAAGATTGCTGATTTTTTTCTGGAAGCAGACAGTCATGGACAAGGACCAGGAATGAGACTGATTTGAAGTGAAATGCAGCTGTTGAAACAGACTGATGTGACAGCCAGTGTAGCCTGTGGTCTTTCCTTTTTAAGAACATTAAGGCACCTCTTCAGGCAGTGCCTCCTCATGCTCCAAGCAAAGCAAACAGTGATGGTGCAATAAATGAGAAAGAAATACTGTATTTAACTTCCTGCAGGCAGAGTGCAGGGTATTTTCTTTCAAGACAAGAGCTGACACTTGAGTGACAAGCAGCGATGTAACCTGACCACTTGTCTTCTGCATGACTTCATGTTTTATTTGTGTAGTAAAATTAGACATACTATACAGTCTATGTGCAAAGACAAAGCCAGAAATGTACAGTATGGCCTCCTCGACAAAGTGAATGCACAATGAAGGACATGTACAGTAGTGCAGTGAAGGTTAATGCCACATTCTTATATTACAGAATAATGCGGCACTGTACTTTGCCATAAAAAGTATTCACCCCCTGCTTATAATATTATATTTTGATGAAAAACAATTAATATTAATGCATTTTTTTGCAGATTCATTATGGTAATAATCAAGCTGAAAACTGTCATATCAGGTATGTGAACAATATTGAAAGTAATATACAAAGTGAAATCTATTAACTACATAACCTATTCGGTCAGCACTTGGTGGAAAACCCATTAGCAGTATTATTGCTGTTAAAACGTTTGGGTAGATTTTTACCAGCCTTGTACAGTAGGATGGTTTAATTTGTCCATTTTCTTAGCAAATGTTCTCCAGTTCTGATAAGTTTATTGTGGTTAGGTTTTTCTTTTGAGTTCAGCATATCTCAGACCATTGATTTTTCCTTCAGCCCTGTCAAGCTTGCCCTTGTTTGCTGATGAGAAGCATGTCTTTTACATAATGTTGCCACTACTGTTCTGACTTGGTGATGCACTGTGTTGGCTTGTTGGAACACTCTGCATTTAAATCAAAAAGTTCAATTTTTATCTAATTTGACTATAAATCCAGACACTTACCTGTATCTTCAGTATATCTCTTGGTTTTGAGTACTGTATATCTATAGATATTAGTTTTAAAATGAGTCTTTTTTAGTGAAGACTTTTTCCTTGCCACTGACAGACCAATTTTGTTTAGGGACTAGGGTATTCTTAGTATATGAAAAATGTCAGACATAGAACTTTGCAGTTTTTTCTAAGTCACTTTTGGCATCATCGGGTAGTCCAAACCCATTCCTGCTTGCACAGCTGCTAAAGTTGAAGGGTAATGTTGGAGTGTAGGTCTGATCTATGTAATGTCAAGGTAGTATGTTGCATATTCTACTTCTTAGTGATGGACTTCACTCTACTCAAAGGGATAAGTAAACTTTTTATAATTTATGCCTCTCCCTAATTTTATCCCTCTTTTGATTTGAAAGCTCAAAGCTCCTTGGCCTTCATGGTCAATTTGTTTTAGCACTCTTGCGTATGAGTTGTGAATGGAAAAATTAACCCTTTGAAATTGTGATTTTAAAAATAAAGTCCTTTTTGCAAGTTTGATGATTATATGCTCAGACAAAAAAAAAACTTTGCAAGGGGATGTATACTTTTGAAAGGCACTTTGACAATTTTATACATTGTATTAGACATAAATTCAGAGCATTTGTAGCATAAGCCAAGTATACAGAAGATACAGAGGACTACAAAAGCATTGGAATCACAGCTCAAGTTCTCTCCCCTCTGATGGAAGGATTACTTTACTAATTCTGGTTTGGCATTGGTTCTAAAAGGAGGAATGCTTTGTTGATTATAGACATGTGATAAAGTGTCTGTCTATTTAAGAAACATTTTAGAAATAATTATCCAAAAATATTTCTTTCTGGGAGTGGTCTTACAGTACATCTCAACAAGAAGTAATCTTGAAAACTCTAGATCAGTGACACAGTGACTATATACAGTATTCATATAGTGCATCTGTGAAATTGTACAGCATCTGTTTCTGCCCCTTTTCCAGGCAGTAAGGTAGCAAGAATATTTGTATGTACTTTATGCTACACAAGAACACAACTACCGTATATTATCTGTGTGCATTGAATTTGTTTTTAACTAATCGTAAATTAGGTAAATCTTGGAAATCCAGTGCTAGAGTACTATAGAATAACCTATTTTATTAATAATAGGATGCCTTTCAAAGCTTTTTGCTTGCATTAATCATAGTTTCAAGTATATTGCAGCTAATTTTCAAAAAAGTATGGTGGAAAACTGAACCTTCAAGCCTTCAAAATTGAACTTCAAAATTGTTTGTTTTCCCACTGACCTATAAAGTATTCTATTTTAATTTAGGTTCAAACTTTAAACATTTGGAAAATCAGAAGCAAATTTTGTACTAGAGCAAAATCCACTTGCCTTCTTTGGGCAAACATGTTTTGCACATTTCTAGTTCTTATGGGAAAATGTTGAACTTTACAATTTACAATTTACAATCATTAATCATTATATACTGTACACAGCTAGTGCCATAATTGATGCAAGACATCATCTAATAAAAATAAACAACCTTATGCAATATATTCTTATATTATATACAACCTAACCCATTAACCTGTTTATACATGAAGTCTAAACTGAGCTGTGACTAAATACCACATTATTTGTTGTTTCTGTGAGCCATTTCACTTAACATTAGGAAAAATATCCTCAGCTGTTTATCTGTTCATTTAGATATACAGCAGAAATACCAGAAAATTAGAATGCTGTAAACACATTTTGTATACCTTTTCTGGTGATTTTCTTGTACTTTTTGTTGCTTTTTGATAACTTTTTGTATGTACATAATTAACTGTGATTTTCTTTTTTTTTTCTTTGCTTGGCTTGAGCATTGTACAGCTTCAGACATTATCCTTTAAAATTAGGAGTCAGGAAGTGTCTGATGCCATTGCATTTACTAAGTTGTTTCGTGTAAATAGAGCTTTTATGCAGAATCTATTGTACATACTGGAAAATGACATTGGAGACAACATTTTAAAATTCTTTTTTAATTATGTCAGTGAAATAAAAAGGCTACGGATTCAAACTGCATAAATATGTTCTCTTTTTCCATATAGATTAATAATACTTTACGCAATTGCTATTTAATGATTTTAATGGTCCATGCAAGCTTAACATACTGTAATACACATTACTCCTATCATGGAGTCCTTGCACTGGCTTCCAGTCAAATTCCGTGTAGACTTTAAAATCCTCATGCTATAAGGCTCTGCATGGCTTAGCACCTCAGTACCTGTCTGAACTATTATCG